GGTAATGAATGGTGACTAAAGTTTTTTTTCGACCGCTTTAGCCAGGAACAAAAAGGCCTTGTTGCCTGCTGGAATAGAGGCAAGCTTGGCCCCTATGCGGCGCACATGATCGACCTTGGCCTTGCGTAACACGTATTTCCCTCTTCTAGGTGGCTTTACAAAGGGTTTCTTCAAATTCCGAATATTCGGAGCTTTGCCCAGTCGAGTATCTTCATTTTCGCCCTTCTAGACAATAAATGTGGTGCGTCAGTGAGTAAGACCTTACTATAACCGTGCGTGACGGGTAATCTGAAATAATTTAACATTTCGCTGTTCGGACGTCATTATCGCAAATGAGTCTTATTATGTCAGTTAATCGTCGCCGTCGTGTGTAGAGTACCGCGCGGTCCGGCGAAACCAATTTCGCAAAGGAAGTGCAAAGATACCGCCAGTCTAGGCGATATGGCGTGGTATTTCGGTTTCGCTTCAGCAGCGAAACTTCATGCAAATACCCCACCGGTAGCGAAAATCGCTTATATCCGAATTGGCCTTAATGTGACAAAACGAGCCAACGAGAACGAGCTTAGTCCGCCGGGGCGCATCCCGAAAGACGGTGCGTAATGCAAATCTTGTGGTACCGAGAACTTACGGAGTTTCAATTATTTATAACGGCGCTCGGTCTAACTTCGTAACATTCATATTTTCTTAAGTGTGGAATTTCTTTTCGAAGAGGTAGGGCGTTACTTAAATCTTGTATGTAGCGACAGTTCGCAATATTACTGTTTTAAATTGTCTTAAATGGTAGATTTCTGAGACAGTAGGTTAAAGGTCAAGTTGAAGTAAAATAAAAACGTAACTATAAAATAATATGACGGCGCTGCCAAATTTCCGCAAAAAATCTGCACACAACGAAGGACCTTTTGTGGACTGTTTAAGTATCCGTCACATCCGGTTGATATTCAGATGCCTCTATAAATAGAATACCTTTGGATTGGAGAACTCTGCTTTGGCGTACAAGGCCATGTAAGTAGCAGATGGAAGACAAATAAACATACACAAATTCAGAGTGACTAGTGTCTATGCAATAGTAAAAACAAATATTACTTTTTCGCCATTCCGTAGCTGAAGAATGGTTATCGAAAAGTTCCTAAGCATCTAAATGATGTAGCAAATGTGCCGCGCTCCGCAGAGGAGGTGATAAATGTAGCTTAAGCAAAGTGATAGCGTTTGTTAGAATTTACCGTAACTGTTTCAAGGAACAAAAGTGGAACATTATTAATAAGATGTACATACATTACGTATTTGTTTGAATGAAGTACGAATATGTTGCCATAAACAGCAATACCAACTGTCTAAACGAGGAGCTTAGCTCCGACGACTGGTCAGTTGCTTTTGCTTCATGTTATTGTACTTGTGCACATTCTCCGAGTTCATTGGAAACAGTGGCTTTTACATATTGTAATTTGCGTAATAGAATCATTTCTACATAATAATTTATTGTTGTTAATATAAAATGCGATTTATTTATATTTTTATTTTATCCTTTGCCAAAATTAACAATAGCTCTCTCTAGCCCAACTACATATATTTTACCCAGTTCTCATCTCCTGCAAGTAATGAGGTTGTATGTTTGTTAAACTTTATTTATGGAAAATAGTCTATTATGCCAAAATAAGAAATTAAATAAATAAATATACTTTTTGTAAATGACTATAGTACTATACGTGTATGACCTTTGTAAATGACCATAGTATTTTTATTTTATTGCCTTTATTGCTGATTAATTTACATAGTAACTTATCAAATATAAAAACATACAACATACTTAATATTAAAAAAGTATGGCCTCCAGCTTTCGCCTCTCTTGTATAATACCTATACCACAAATATTTAACTAACAAGTTAAATATTTACAGAATTGATAGTCAATTGTGTTTGTGAAATTACTCCACTAGTTTGTTATAATTATTAATACAAAGATC